TAGGCTTCTTCTAATCCTGCATATAAAAACTAAATGATTAATTTATAAATATTAAATAAATTAATTAAATTAGTTATTTAAAATTTATACGTTGATTTTACTAACATAACTTATTTAATTGAAATTTAAGTTGAAAAAATATTTAACAAATAGTTTGAGAAAAAATTATAACTTTAATATATAAAGCTGAATAAAATTTTATATTTAGAACTGAATAACTTAACTAATTCTTATACTTAAAATAGCATCCAGCTGTTTGGCTTCCAAATTAGTGATATTGTTGGGGACAAAAAGCCATAAAATTACTAAGAAGTCCTTCGCCGTGCTCTAGGCAAAAACAAAACGAGAAGGGAAAAAAACAACCAAACAACGATTTTTGTTGGGGACAAAAAGACAAAGAATTACTAAAAATCTAAAATACACGAATTTTTTTCTGGCCACTTGGAAATTTGTCGTGCAACAATGTCTTTGTCGATGACTTATGTCTCATGAGTCGTGACTGTAATAAAGTGGAGAGTAACAATTTCAGGCGATCGCACAAATGATATAATAATTAAATAAAATTTTAATAGAAAATAATTATATGCATATTTAATAATAACTATAAGGAATAAATTTATAATAAGTTTAATTGTAAATATAATAACACCACAACATATAAAGTTGTCAAATAAATAACCCCATATGCCAGCAAATAGTCAGAATATTATATTAAGCTTTTTGAGATGCTCAATTCTAGTATTTGAAATTTAATCTCATATCTTGATTTTGATTCCTAAAATTTAGAACCGGTGGCTTAGTCCTAGAGACAAACTTCTAATAAATAAAACTATCATTTCAAATTTCAGGGATTAAAATTAAAAATCATGTTTCTAAAAAGCATTCAAATTTTTGATTTAATTTTGTATTCGGATTCAATAACAGGTCAACTCCAGGTCAACTTATGTCAGGTATGATTTTTTTTTTAATTATTGGAGAACAGCCCCTCTTTATGTTAAATAATAATTATGACTATTGAATTACTAATTCTTTAATTTAAATTTATATAACTTAACAAAAAAATATTTGGGATAATTTGACAATTCTCTAAACAAAGGGTATTCCTGAATCTCCCTGAATGTATGATAATGGAGATTTGATTCCTGTCCCTGTCGTTGTCGTTGTCGTTGTTGTTGTCCCTCCAATCATACAAACTTTACAAATGTCCATAGCCCGCCTTCGGCTGCGCTGTCTTTTCTCGCTTTTCCCCCGCACTGTCACGCTTTAGGAAAAACAAATGGTACTTTTTCCGTTTCAAGGAGAGCAAAAAGAAGACATCGAAAAGACACCCTACACAATAAAAATTGTTAACTACCTCCTTGCTTAAATATAAAAACTAACTAAATTTTAATTTTAATTTTAAATATAAGATATTAATATGTTTTTTTATATTATTTATTTTTAAAAACAGTCTCCATAATAATTATATATATTAAAGAATATTTATCATAATATACATAATTAATAAGAATATTTTATAGAAGATACTACCTGTTTATTATAAATAGCTAACTTAATTAATTTATTCAATACTCATAAATTAGTTATCTAAATCTCATATTAAGAATTAAAGGTCCTATTATATTATTTCTACTTAAAATTAAAAAAAAATGTATAACATTATAATAAATTCAAGTTTTTTTTTGAAACACATATATCCAGAAAAAAGGAAGAGCAAATATTGCATGGCTGATATGTACAATTTATTAAAAAAGGAAGAGGGCGAGGTGGGTGAGTTGTAGAGGAAGTTTATTTACTGCAGAAAAGAGAAGTAGGCTAATGGGAGGTAACAAATGTAATCCTTTATGTTACAAATGTAAAGTTGAATCTAAAGCTAACATGCATGTTTTGCGAGATTGTGTTTGTGCTACAGAGCCAAGGGAACAACTGGGGGAGAGTGATCACAACTCAAATTTTTACTTGCTGAATGACAATGAATGGTTTAGATGGTGTTTGTGTAGTGTTTGTGTAATAGAGATAAGGGGAAGGTTGTTGAATTTGGAATTACTTGTTGGTTATTATGGAATTGGAGAAATAGAGGTTTATTTGAGAATGGTTTTGTCTTGCCAGGTGTAGGAGTGCTACTGCCAAAGATATGTGGCTGAAATTAGAAATACTTTTGTGTGGTGCTGATGGGCTTGTTGGCAAGAGATATGAGAGGCTTGTTAGATGGGAAGCTTCAGAGAATGATTGAATGAAATTAGATACGGATGAGGCTTTTAAAAGTGGGAATGGCTTAGCTACATGTGGTGGATTGTTAAAGGGGTGTGATGGGATATGGATTAGGAGATTCTCAAGAAAATTGAGATCTTGCTTGGCTATAAAGGCTAAAATCTGGGCTGTGATTTTTGGGTTGTAGACGGCTTACATGGCTAAGGTCAAGCATTTCATTGTTGAATGTGATTCCTTAGCTGTTGTTAATATTCTACTTAGTATAGTCGATAATTTTGATTGTAATTCCAGTTTATTGAAAATTGTAAAGGCTAAACTAGATAGATTTGCAAATGTTAGGATACACCATGCATATAGGGAAAACAATGCTTCTACAAATTGCCTTGCAAATTATAGTTCCGAGATAGATGTGGGGGGAGATAATTTTTGAAAGTCTTCCTCAAGTTGTAAGAAGGTTGTTACATTCTGACTGGGTAGGAGTTGCTATCTCAGGATTAGTGGAGGTTTGATAGAATTGGCCCCTTGAGCCCCGTATACTTGATCTTTTTAATTTACATCAATTTTCAGTTTAATTTTTTAAACTTAATTCTGGAGCTATTGGGGGAGGTTAAGTTAATCTTAATTCATAAAGGTTTTGTTTGCAAAATTTACTTTTATTTTTTTTCTATATAAGTTACTCTGAATAGCATATCAAAATAAGTTTTTCAGGCCTAATATTCATAAATTGAATTTTTTTAATACAAATCCCCAATTTAATATTTAAACTTCTACGTGGCATGTATGTTATATTTGATAATTATTAAGTACTTTATGTCAAAAAATGATTAAGTACTATTTCCGTTGTCCTACTTTGTCATCGCTACACGTACTTCGTATAAATAAGTCATCTCTCATTTTTAACCTTTTATGGCTGAGATATTTATGGCTCATGAGTAAATAATGCATAAATGGATGGTGACTCTGTTTTTGTTTTATTTTAGGATTGATTAAAACAAACGGTTTTAGCTCTAAAATTCAACTTTATTTTGACTTTGGTTCTTATTTTAAAGACCAAAAATCTTAAGCCTGAATAACATGAAGTTAAATTTAAGAGATCAAAATTATTAGTTTAAAAATTTTATGGACCAAAACTAAAATAAAGTCAAATTTTAAAAATCAAAACTATTAGTTTCAAATTTTAAAGACTAAAATTAAAAACCAAAATGAAGTTACACTTCATAACTAAAAATGATCTAAACTATTTTTGAATTCGTGGAGATTCATATTGTCTTGTTTTTTAAAATTAAAAAAAATAGAGTCTGTTGAGACAAAAAAAATATTAGGATACTAACAAATATATAAGATAAGGAAAAATTGTAATAAAATCTCTAAGGTCATAAAAACAAAGTTTATAATAAAAAAATTAAGATTTTTTTAATAATTATTTCTAAAACCCATTGCAATTGTCCCATAAGATAACGCCAGTTGCCAATACAAGATCGGTCAAGAGTCAGAGAAATCAGCGATAAAAATGAGGTTGGTACGGTGGGCTCCATGGATGGTGTGCCAGCTCATCACTCTATCTCTCTCTCACACACACGTTTAATTACGTTTCCTCTCTGATGCATGAGCATGACCGCATGAGTCATCTCCCCAAAATTTCCAAAAGATTCGGGCCCTCTTTCGAAAATTAGAAGAAAGTTAAACTTCTTAAAATTCATACCTTTATCTTAAATTCTTATTATAAGAGTTAATTAATTAATTTAAATATATTAAAAAAATTTATTAAGTTAATTACTTATAATTAAAGGGTATTATTTTTCTTAAAATATCTTTATTAATAATGAGTATTAGCTATAACTATTATTTGATGAAAGTTTTAACATGTTCAACTACTATAGAGATCACTTTAAAAAAAATAGATAAATATGAGAGATAGAATAAATCAGAGTCTTATATTTAAGATCAAATTAAAATTTAAACTAACTTTTATATTAAGTATAAAAAATAGAATTAAATTGCCCGTGAAAATGACAAATAAACGTTTTCTGTTGAGAGGAGGATATCGATTTGAACTAAAAGTGATGGGTGAAAATTTTTTAAATCAATTTTATATTCAGGAATTTAGGATGTTAAACAAACCCCCAAAAAAAATATTTTAGATGTTAGATATACCAAAATATAATTTAAAATACTAGATACATATAAAAAAATATTTTATGATACTAAATATATTTTATCCTTAAAGATAATTTATTTAATTATTTTATTAATTTTTTCTCATAGACTAAAATATACTTTTAGTTTTAAACCTTTTTTAGTTCCTCAATGTTAAAAAATGTATTTTTAGTCACTTAGTCTTCGAATATTTAAACAATGATTCTGAAATATTGATAAAGTATTTTTAGATACTAACATGTTAAATTTAATTTTTAAAACAACAGTGATTATTATAAAAAATTATCATTTAAGATTAATAATTATAAAAATAAAAAAAATAAAAAATATATTTTTTAAATTAAAAGGCCAAACTAGACTTTGTATAAAGTTAAAAAAAGCTCATATATATTATTTTCTTCAAAAAAGTAGGCCCCACCTCCCCAATCATAACGTTGCTTCGGCTCCCGCCGTCCAGCTGCGAGCTCTTCGATCACTGTTCTTCCCATGCTATACATCGCGCCCTCCAGAAATCTGTAAGTTTGTGTTTTCAGTAACTCGGCTCAAGATTTTGTCATTTTCCTCCCTCCCTCCCTCCCTTCCTTCCCGCACTTCACATTTCACAAGAAGTAAACAAATCGCATTCGTCCTTTATAACTTTCGCTAATTTCACTTTCTTCTGTCTCTGCTTGTCTGAGCCAAAAACAGAGAGCGGTTCATTAGGAAGGAGAATCATGGCGGACGATAGTAAGAACAATGAGAAAGATAATAGCACTAGACAGCCATTGTTGAAGAAACGGTACTATGAGAACTGCCCTGGCTGTAAGGTGGATCAAGCCAAGGAAATTTACGAAGGCGTTCCTCTGAAGTATGTGACTAGCATATGGATAATAACTCTCTGCACCGGTGAGTATCTATTTATTTTTGTTTTCCTCGCGTACATGAATGCTTTGGTTTTTCGTAGTTCGTGAAAATCTGGTTTACTTATTTTTGTAAAATCAAGCGCATCAACTTTTGAAATGACCTTGTTTTTTCTTCAGTGTGTGATTTTGTCTTTTGTGAATTGAAGTTAGATCGACCTTTTTCGAACGATTAGTTTGCATTGCAATATTGCATACCGGACTTGCCTCCACTCCTCAGCTCAGTTAAGCAGAAGCAAGAAATCGGTTCATGAAGAAAAAGTTTTTTCCTATTCGATTAATCCTTAATCATTATCTTTCTGTAATGGGATATCAGCTTCTTGCATTTTTTAAAAGTTCAAGATATCCTTGGTCCAATTTCTATTTCTTCTCCCAGTTGAAAAGCCCATAATTAAATTATATTTCTAATTCTTTCTCTTTTTCTTTCTTTCGTGGAGAGGTGGTCTTTGGTGAATGATGCGGTAAAGGTGAAGGGTTTTTTTTTTTTTTTTTTATAAAATCAATCTGTTTCATTGAGTGTTTATAATCAAATTCCACTCCTCCAGATTCTTCAGTTACTTATTCCTGCTTTCTTCATTTTTATCTCAAACTTTATCTGATTCGTTCTTTCTTGGCTTTGTACAGCGCTGCCTATAGCATGCCTCTTCCCATTTCTTTATTTCATGGTGAGCTTAGTTTTACACTGGCCTTTAACGCTGCCTTCACTTGATGCATTCTTTGATGGCCACGGTGGCCTTTAGTTCTACATGCCTCTTTGATGAACACTTTAACAATGAAAGAAAATTGCTTCACTTCTGCTTTCTCATTAGTTATGAGATAACTCAAGAAATAACCACCTCTGTTTAATGTTAGTTTTTATTGCTTAGCAGCACACAACTAATGCAGAATAGAAGATGAACTATTGATGCAAATTTGGTTGCAGGTAAGAGATTTTGGTGTAGCAAAAACGGAGGCAGATATCAGTTCCTATGCTGGTTATCTGGGTAAGTTTCTTTTAGTCCTTTCATTCTATAATTAGATGGATTTATGAGCTCTTAAAATACTGATCTCCATATGAAATATGGTGTAGGATCTTCATACATGCTCGGCAGAGGTTTGACATCAGTTCTATGGGGAATATTTGCTGATCGATATGGTCGAAAATATGCTATAGTTATAGGCATTTTTGCAGTGTAAGCACCCCTGCTGCTACTTTGGATGACTTGCTTTTATATCTGCTATAAATAACTGCGAATAGAAAGAGAATACTAGGAGGAGAGGAATTCTGGAATGCATTAGAAAAAAAGAAACGAAATTGTGGAAAACTTACTTTCATAATGAAGGAAGAATAGACACCTAGTAATTTGTAGATTATTAAGTGAATCTTGGAACTTGTTTCATTTATTTTATGATTCTGTTATCTGTTTTATTCATTTGCTTTTATTTCTTATCATTGACTCCCTAAAGATAGCCCTCCACTAATTGTATGTTACTTTTTTTGGACTAGCAGAAAGCAATATAGCTTGTTAGTTCCTTTTCTAAATTCATCCTCACTCTCTTTCTTTCATTATCTCCCTCATCCTCCTCTCTACTGTTCTACATCAATAAGCTTATTCATATAAATACCAACTCTTGTTCGATTTCAGTGTCGTGTTTAACACACTATTTGGTCTTAGCACAAGTTTTTGGATGGCTGTTAGCACGAGATTTCTTCTTGGAAGCTTAAATGGTTCACTTGGGCCGATAAAGGTACCATTTATATATGTACCGGACAACAATTTAAAAATGAATGAACTGATATTTGATCTCTAAAAGATATACTTCGTCTCTGTTTGGTTCGCCAAAGTTTTAATGTCTCATTTTAGTCCTTCAAAGGGTATTCTTTCTTCTATATCATTTTCACATTGAGACTGTTAATAGATGATTAACAGAAAGGGCTGACATGGCTTAATGTAAACCTGATGTGATTGTTAAATGCATAGTTGTCATCGAAAGTGGGCATTCAATTAGAGCACCATATCACTTTGATGCATGGTTAATGACTACTGGTTATGTAAAGGTCATATAGAATTGTTCTACATGAAAGCCAGTCATTCTAATTATTTGTTTTCCTTTACAAGACTTACTTGTTCTATTTGATTCTAACTTCCACCTGCATATCAACATCCTTTGTCACTAGGCTTATGCTACCGAAATTTTTCGAGAAGAACACCAGGCTTTAGGACTCTCAACGGTAAGTCTAGTTTACTTTGGTCTGCTATTGATTCTTGGGACTATACGTACTTTATGATAATTTGATGGTATGATCTTCTTTCAGGTCAGTGCATCGTGGGGCATAGGTTTGGTCATTGGCCCAGCACTAGGAGGTTATTTGGCTCAGGTAATTTATTTGTTGCCTTGTTCAGTATAGTAGTCCTTGAGAATGAGCTCGGCTTTTTTCACATGGACATAATTTCTACTGGATTCGTGTTTCTCTTTATCTGGACTGAAATTTGTCATTATCCTTATTACTATTTTGGTCTCTGTCTTGTTATTAAAACTTAAAGAGGGGGACTACCATGGTGTGTGCGGGTGCATGCCTTCTGGGTCACCATAATTTGTCATATCTTAAATTTCACATTGCATGTGTGTGGGAACATGTTGCCAGGCAGGTTTATCTCTGGTTCCTCTCATTGTTTGGGAATTTTGGTTTTGCAGCCAGCAGAGAAATATCCACATATATTTCCAAAAGGTTCCTTATTTGATAGGTAAGCAGGCCTACTTCAAATCATAACAATAGTTTTGGATTTTGTTTTCTAATTTCATTTCTTAGTTCATATTCTTTCATTTGTCCTGACATAAATGACCTGCAGGTTTCCATACTTCTTGCCCTGCTTGATAATATCAGCCTTTGCACTTGCTATATTAGTTGCCTGTCTGTGGCTCCCGGTACGTATAGCCATGAATTCTGTTTCTCTATTGATATCAATAATAATTGTTTTTTTTTGTTGTTTAATTATCTAACATCTGATATGAACGGGTCGGATTTGAGCATTGGGTGAAAATTAAGAGTAACTTTACCAGTGTGACCTTTTCTATCCATACGGTTCGAACACACCGCCTTGCTTAAAGGGTATCAAGTTCCTTCCATTCGACCTAATCACCTTGATGACTGACAACGGTAATTGTAAATTTTATCAAACGCAAATCTCTGGCCCAAGCCTGCTAATCCTTATAATACTTTAAACTTAATCATCACAAACCCACTATTCTAACATATGTTAAACTCCTATATATAGCTCTGTCCTCGTGACGTTTCGAGACTACTACTATTGGGGGGAAACCCTTTCTAGGTTGGGATGAAGACAAGGGTTCTATTAATGTTTCTTGTTAAGGGAATTAGTGAAACTATTGGGTTATGTTTTTTTATATAGAGCCCCATATTTGTTATAGCCTTGAAATCTATTAGTAGTTTTTTTGCTTTCCCATTCTTTATTTTTTAATGGGTCTCCAAATATTTTAAACATATACCATGTTTGGCCTATAATTGTATATACCTGTACTTTAAACTGTTTGCTTTTGACAATAAGGCTGCCTCTTGATTTTCATTTTTCCCCCCTTCAAAATCTGCAGGAAACATTGCACAAACACAACGTTAATGATGAGTCCAATGAAGATGCAGAAGCTTTAGAAAATGGAATCACAGGAAAGACAGTTCAGAAAGTTGAAAACCTCCTCCTGAATTGGCCCTTGATGTCAATCATTATTATTTATTGCGTTTTCTCACTGCATGATATCGCTTATTCAGAGGTCTGTTTCTTACATAATGATAGTATAAATAATTTTATGCATTTAATATGTTATGTTTGTCGTAGTACTTTCTTGCTTTCTCTCTTGCTTATACAAAGGTGGCACTATGGTCCTTTCTGCAGGTTTTCTCATTATGGGCTGTCAGTCCGCGAAAGCTGGGGGGTTTGAACTATACAACAGATAATGTTGGTAATGTTCTTTCAATATCAGGTACATCCTCTATGGCTATGACTTTTTAGATAATAAATATTGTTAAATGTGCTTCCGTCCTAACCTCCCTTCCTCAAATACTCCGCATAAGTTAGCTTCATTTACATGAAATCATATATACGCAATCTTCCGCTTAGGCATATTCTGTAAACCAACCTTGCTGAGTAATTTTCAGTTATTATAACTGCCAAACTTAGGAAGGGTTCTTAAGAGACATGCAGAAGACTAAGTTCTTTTGGCTGAGAAAATTTTGGATAAAGCTTCTTTGGTGTTTGTTTTTGAATTCTTGTAGTGCGTAACTTGTGGGCTAACGTTTATTAACTGCTTATATGTATATTGAAATACCTAGTTCTAAGTATGATATTTAATTTTTTTTTAATAGATATGAATTGAGTAACTTGTTTTATGTTGTGAGTTGTTTTTAGTTTCAAAGCAGTTAATTAATCCCTACAAGCTTCTGAGATCAAGTTGGTAGTAGTTTTTATTTTGTTTTGGTACTGAACTTCTTCAATGAATGTACATGAAAATATATTCAGATTTCTTGATATTCATACAACACAAGCACTGCATATTGGAACAATGCATTTAGTTTAAGACAGAACAGATACGCATTACAAAGATATAATGTTTGCTTTCTTCCATTGTATTGATATATCTATCAATTCAATATCATGCTAGGTAGTACTGACCTTTCCTCAACTGATTAGGTTTTAGTCTGTTGCTCTACCAAATCTTCATTTATCCACTTTTGGAGAAAGTTTGTGGACCTGTGAGACTTTCCCGCATTTCAGGGGTTAGCTTTCTCTTTCATGCAACAGTTTCTATGATTCAGTATTTTCATCGTCTGTTGCTTTTTAAACTGTACTGTTGTTTTTTGGGTACCGTATGCAGGCTATATCCATACCTATCTTGCAAAGTCACCCTTTCATAGCATTGTTATCTGGATTCACACAGGACCTATTGATAACTATTGCTTCTGTCCTTATGTTTTGTCTCTCTGTAAGTACATATGTTCCTTGATTTTATCAACCACAATGGTATTGCTATGGGGTTAAGTTGAAGTGAAATAGCTGGCATAGAATAATTTTTATAGGTATTTTCAGTCTGTAAAATTACTGATCTCCGCAAAAGTAAAGGAAATATGTCGAATGTCCTTGTTGAAGAACATTTGCATTGATACAGGGTGACAAAGTAAAATTGTGAGTATTTAGTGTCACATTGTGTCTGATCAAGTGTCCATTGGTCAAGGACATAAGTTTTTTGAAGGGTCCATGTTTCATAGGTTGTATTTTTTCTGCACACAACTGGGCAAAAGAGAGACAAGGAGATCATTATCAGCTTGCAAATACATCAAATGATGGATACACGTGACTTGGATCCTATTGTTCTTTTGAGACCATTTAAGCTAATCAATAGTGCAATTAGCCCTTTAGGTGCAATAAAATAAATGTTCTATTGTTGTCCCTCTAATTCATTCACTCGCGCCACTCAGTCATTCTTTTATTAATTATAGCAGTATCAGCAAAAATTTGATTAAAGCCATTGGTGATATTTAAACGGCGGCAGGTCAATATTTATATTCCACAGAAAAAATTAAAGGTGCAAGATTGATCTTAGTGAAATTGAGGACTAAATTGAAAAAATAGAGGAAAAATAGGGGGGCTAAGAGTGCAATTAAGACCATAAAATATTAGAATGCCAGAAACAAAACGCTATCTCCTTGACAAAAACCTACATACATTTTGGACTTGCCTGATTGTAAATTTTTCTTTGCCAGGCAACCATTATTACTGGTTTATTCCTTCTGCAAAACAGAGCAGTGGTAAAAAATTTTGTTCAGCGCATTGTTTATTATTATTATTTTTTTAAAGTTTTTGAGATTATCATGATTGAGTTGGGCTAATATGGTTTGCTCCACTTGTAAACACAGGAACAACACCAAAGAGGAGCAGCTAATGGTATTGCTACGACTGGTATGTCACTGTTCAAAGCATTTGGCCCAGCTGGAGGCGGTGCAATGTAAGCTTACTTTTCATTTATTTGTTTTGCTTCTTATATGACACATCCAATTTGGTGAATGATTGTACATAAAGGTTCGCTTTGGATTGATTTCAATCTCTGATTTGTGATCCTTTTATCCCCTTTTACTTCCTTGATTTTCTACTCTGGGTCTTAATAAATTCAGAAGCCCTATCAGTAATCTTAAACACACTACCTCACACGAATACATTGATTAACCTTTTTAAATTATTTGAAGGTATAATATTTTGAAAATTATCTTTGTTCACTAATTATGATCTTCGTCAATGCAGATTAAGTTGGTCGCAGAAGAGATTAGATGCTTCTTTCCTCCCAGGTATGAAAGTCAGCTAATCTGTTTGTGCTGAACTTTATTTCTTGTGCTGTTGGGAAGGGTGTCAAACAGGCAAGGATGGTGCCTGTTCATATAAAAAATGAACTGACTCCAAATTCAACACTATATCCTCCAAAATTTAGACTATCCTTCCCTCCTGTTTCATATCATTGACTGTAATACTATAATACTACCTCCAGTTCTTAATATAATAACTAGTTTGACTTTTAATTTTCATCCTTAATATAAGACCCCAATCTATTTTATCTCTCATATTTATTTATTTTTTTCAAGTTAGTCTTTGTAGTAGTTACACGTATTAAAGGTTTCATCAAATTGTAATTCTAGCTAATACACATAATTAGCGAGGGCGGAAAAGACAACACCTATTTATTACAAATAAGAAATTACTTTAATCAACTCAAATTAGTCAACTAGCTCTTATGTTAAGGACTGGAGGTAATAAGTTCACTTTTTTAAGTATAGACTTCAGCTAACTCTGGGACGTTTAACTGCAGGCCCTCATATGGTATTTTTTGTGCTGAATCTAGTAGCAGCACTTGGAATGTTGATGATGTTCAAACCATTCATGGCTGAGAAAAAGAAAACCCCATCAGAACAGTTACACTGATATATCCAAGGGTTACTTGTTGCTGCAGAAGACTGAAGTGATGAATGAAGCTAATAAGGCTAGGAAAACCAGAAGAGGGAAGGAAACAGAGCAGAAAAAGAGAGAGAGAAACGTAAAGAGCAAGATCCTTGTTCTTTCTTTTGTTGAAAGCAACCTTCTTTTGTCTCTATAATGGCGGTTTATCATATGTTTTGGTTAATCTATGAAACAACTTGGTCATCGTACTAATTGGCATATCCTGTTTTGAATGAAATTTTGAATCTCAAGTTGGTAATGTGCTTCTTAACAATAATAATGTATTATCCCCTTTTAAGTGTTTTACTAGAATTTGAAAATACACCTAGAGGAAGGGTTGAAATGGTCTTTGTATGATGATTCTAAATTCAAATTCATTTAATTGGAACGACAGGTTACCTTGGAAAATTAATTTCTAGATTAACAAATTAAAGTAATGATGGAAAACACTGATATGAAAATGAATTAGTATTTAAAGGATCTTAAATTTGAAGCTAATACACAATAAAAAAAAATCATGCCAATGATCCTTAGTCCTACTTATTGTATATTTAATTTAATATGTTTTGAATATTGACTCAACAATAACCAAGAATGGTTAAAGTTGGATTGTCAAAGTTTAACTACAAAATGTAATGCCTTATTTAGAAACATGAAACTTAATTTACTACTTTTGGTTATTAATATAAAAGTTAATTTCACTTTCAATTTGTTTATAAATATAAGAGTTCAATTCACTTTATCTATCATATTTATCAAATTTTTTTCTCATGGTAGTCCTTACAGTCGTTGCATATGTTAAATGTGTTATTAAACAGTAGTTCTAACTAATATATATAATTGACAGAATATTCTAAGAAAGACAATACATATTTGTTACAAATAATTAATATGACAATTTTTCTTAGTCTACTCAAATTAGTCAACTAGCTCTTATATTAAAGAACAAAAATAATATCATACAAAACTGTAAAGACCAAATTATATCAAGGTAAAGTTTTGGTATAGAGTTGTAACTGATTTAAAACTATAGGTCAAAAAATTCATTTTTCTTTTCTTTTTATTATATCCCATTTATTTTTAAACGAAAATAGATTCCTATCTTTCATGCATATAAAGGGGGCCAATAGTGACATTAGAAGTTAAAGCTAAGCATGATGTTCATATCTTGCGCTGGAAACAACAAAAAAGATGTTCATATCTTGTGAATATACTTCCATACTCTTTCCCCTTAATTTATCTTCTAATGTATCAAATTTATGATAGGAAAAATCTTAGGTATATGAATTAGGAGTGTTGAACTACTTGAAGGCTATAAGCCTGATTCTACCTAGAAGACCAAGTTGATATAATGATTACAAACTATATACTACCTCGTGATCTAAATATATTCCTCCGTTCTTTAATATAGGACTTAATTGTTGAGTTGATCTAGATCCTAAATATAAAACCTAATTCTCATATTTATCAATTTTTTCTAAATTATTCTTATTGATACTCTCTCAAACACAATCAAGTAGGAAAAGGAGGGAGGACATTAAAGAAGATGATTATGGTGTTTCAGAAAAAATGTCATATTTTTCATAATTAACTAACTTAGTTAACTTCTTTAATCTAACTAAATTAGTTAAATAAGTCTTACATTAAGAACTAAAAGAGTAAGATCTAATTTATAGTAGCAAATTAGATCTTATATTTAGGATTGAAGGTAACATGTGTGTGTGTACCTATAAACGAAATATACCTGAAATACCTTCTTACACCTTAGTTAAAAATTATTAAAATGCGGTTTATTAATATGAAATCAAATATATCGCTTAAAGAAGGAAAAACCACAAAAAAAGACTATAGAATTTGAAAAATTGTAGACAAGGACTCATTCACCAAAATTGTTGTCAAAATGTATACTATTATTGTTAAAACCCATTATAATATTGTAACGTGTCCTTATTTGTAATTTTTCAAATTCCATGATTTTTTTGCGTTTCGCTTTAAAGAATCCGTTTGATATTTGTGTTCTTCCAAATGTCAGCAACACACTAGCACCTTGTTTTAATCTTTTGGGAAAATCCCAAAAAAGTGACTGTTGAATTTCAAAATGACAAATCAGGAATTACTACAAAAATATGTTGTTATTTGCTTTGTAAGTGTAGTCATTTTCTTTATAAGTGTAATAACCAATACTGATTTGTCATTTTGAAATTCAACAGTCACTTTTTAAAGATTTTCCCTAATCTTTTTCTAGTTATTCCCTACATAAAACTCATGTTTTATTACTTTCTTATTTTCTGAACTTTATTACTAACTTCTCCAATGATATCAAATACTTCTTCTTTTTTTCTAAGTATAGGTATTTTTCTATTAGAGATAATTATCTCTTTTTTTTTATAGGTACAAATATCATCTTATTGGGAGTAATTCTGTTCAAAGTATTATCAGACACTTAATATAGATAGCCAGAATTTAAATTTAGTTTGTTTTGAAAAATTAACCTCTTCTGCTAGATCTAACTTGATCAGCTGAGCACCTCTTTTTAAATATGGTGTGGGGTTGTCAGTTTAAGTTATGGAAAATTTATTTTTCTGTGAAAAAAAATTCCAAAAAATTGCGATTTTGTCTAACAATAATTTGAGCCCAGCCCATTCATCTTCGACACTCGTTCAGTCCTTCGTATGCTGGAAACGCGGAATAAGCGGAAGACGCAAAAGAAACTGGAGTGTGTGAAGAGCAGGAATCAACGAACAGAGGTTTTAGGCTTTAAGTTTCCCTCTTCCCTCTTCCTTCTCTGTCCACTCCGGTACGATTCTTCGGCTCGGCGACTGATTTCTTAAACTTTGTTTTTATTAATTGTCACAGAAACCTGTGGATTTTCTTGTTTTAAAACGGTTTGATCGTCTTAGACCAAACTTTTCAAGCCTTTGCGCATTTCTCTTGTATCAATTTCAAGCAAATGTGCGTAGAAGTTCGAGCATTTCCTGCCATCTATTCAAAATTTGTGTTTCGTTCTTGTTTAAGATTTATGGTGTAGGCGTATAGCAGATAGTATTGTTCATAACTTTCAATTGCAATATAAATACCCAAAAATCGAGTTGAATGATGACGTCGTTTCCGTCCAAAAACCTATGGATTCAACGGCAACAATGCCCATGCGGAGATTGGAAATGTTTTGTGACTTATGAGGGCGATGGCGAAGATATTTCAGCTGGACCGGAGTCAGTGAAGACAGAGAATGCATCATCAGAAGCTATGATTTCACCCTATGTAGGAATGGTGTTTAAGAGTGATGATGATGCATTTGAATATTATGGGAATTTTGCCCGGAAAAATGGGTTCTCAATTAGAAAAGAAAGATCCAGACTTAGCCCGCAATTAGGTGTTTATAAACGTGACTTTGTTTGTTACCGTTCAGGGTTTGCCCCAGTGAAGAAAAAGTCTAATGGAGAACACCATAGAGATAGGAAATCCGTACGCTGTGGATGTGATGCAAAAATGTATCTGTCAAAGGAGATTGTAGATGGAGTTTCTCACTGGTTTGTTGTGCAGTTTAGTAATGTACACAATCATGAACTCTTGGAAGATGACCAAGTACGGCTTCTTCCAGCATATCGCAAAATACAAGAGGCTGATCAAGAGCGTATACTCTTACTTTCTAAAGCCGGGTTCCCAATTCATCGAATAGTGAAGATGCTTGAGCTGGAAAAGGGGATTCAAGGTGGGCAACTGCCATTCTTGGAAAGGGATGTGAGGAATTTTGTTCAAAACCGGAAGAAGGTTATTCAGGAAAATGAAGCATTGCTGAGTGAGAAAAGAGAAAGTGACGTATTGGAACTTCTTGAGTCATGCAAAACCATGAAAGAGACAGATGATAACTTTGTTTATGATTTTACAGTGGATGGGAATGAAATGGTTGAGAATATAGCCTGGTCTTATAGTGACTCTGTTCATGCATATTCTATGTTTGGTGACGTGGTTTATTTTGACACTACATACCGATCAATCACATATGGATTGGTCTTTGGAGCATGGTTTGGTATTGACAACTATGGCAGAACCATTTTCTTTGGTTGTGTTCTATTGCAGGATGAAACACATCGGTCCTTCTCTTGGGCGCTCCAGGTTGACTACTTGCATCCTCTTTAAGATATTAATTTTTCCTTCTTATATATCCTCTTATGATGATTGTCCCCCAATACAGAGTTTCGTACGACTCATGAGAGGAAGATGTCCGCAAACAATTTTAACCAATATTGACCCTAGCCTTAGAGACGCCATAAGAAGTGAACTGCCAGGCACTAAACACGTAATCTCTATGTGGTGTATAATGCCCAAGGTACCTTGCTGGTTTTCTCTTCCTGTTGGGTCTCGCTATGAAGAATTTAAATCTGAGTTTGATGCATTATATCACATTGAGAATTCAGAGGAATTTGAACTTCGATGGAACCAAATGACATCTGCCTTTGATCTTGGATCAGATAAGCATATTGATCTACTCTACACTTTGAGAGCATCTTGGGCATTGTCTTATGTTAGAGGTTTCTTTCTGGCTCAGATGGCAACAACAGCTTACTTAAAGTCATTAGACAGTTTTTTGAAAGGCATCTTTAGTGCACAAACATGTTTGCGGAGCTTTTTCGAGCAGGTATTTATCTGTTAGAACTTTGTCTTGTATACTTGTGCTAACTTGCTGTTCTTGTAATGACTTTCCTCCTTATTGCAGGTTGGCATTTCTGCAAATGTTCTTCATCATTCTCGTCAAGAAACTCCATATGTGCATCTCAAAAGTTGCATACCTATTGAAGAGCATGCCCGGAGTATATACACACCTTTTGCCTTTAATGCGTTGCAACAAGAATTATTGCTAACAATGCAATATGCCGCATCTGAAATGCCCAATGGATCATATATTGTACGCCACTTCAAAAGGATGGATGGCGAGCGTCTCGTGATATGGCTAGCTGAAGATGAGCAAATCCATTGTTCTTGCAAGGAATTTGAATCCTCAGGGATATTGTGCAGACATGCTCTTCGTGTATTCATAATAAAGAGTTACTTTCAGCTCCCTGATAAGTATTATCTAAGTAGATGGCGACAACACGAGTCCTCTTTACTTCTTGATAATGATCATAGTAATAATAATCAAAGTATTGAGGATGAATGGTTTCAAGAATATCAGTCCCTTGCCGAAACTTTGTTTGCAGAATCTTCGATCACAAAGGAACGATCTGACTTTGTTCGTAGAGAACTGACAAAAGAAATCACTAGGATTCTTAGCGAGGT